CCTACTACCTACTACTTACTACCTACTACTTATTACTGACTACCTACTACCTACGGCCTACTACCTCCTACTACTACTACTACTACTGCTGCTGCTGCTACTACGACTATTGCAACTTTCTACTTACTTCTTACTTCTTACTCCTTACTACTTACTACTGACTACTTACTACTACTAGGCTACTACTTACCACTACTACTACTACTACCACCACTACTACTACTACTACTACGGCTACCACTACTGCTACTGCCGCTGCGGCGGCACCACCACGACGACGACGACGACCACCACCACCGCTTCTACGACCACAACCACGACTACTGCTACTACGACTTCTACTACTACGACGACGACTACTGCTACTACTGCTACTACTACTACTTCTACTTCTACTTCTTCTTCTACTTCTTCTTCTACTTCTTCTTCTACATCTTCTTCTACTTCTACTTCTACTACTTTTTTCTTCCAGTATTACTTCGACTACCACTACTGCAACTACGACCACTACTCCCACCAAAGCGGATTTGTTGGATTCAGCAATCTCTTTTCAATTGATGCGGGTGGAATCTATTTTTGATGCGTTAAGTACCGTGTTTTATCTCTCACCCATATCATATTGGGCTTTGTAGGACGACGGCTCCATACTCACTGTGTTTGTATGCGTCTGCTGGGCTCGACTCTGCCTTCAAAGGAAAAGAAGAGCGACCCAGCGCTCTGTGTATGGAGTGTGTTATGAACTTGTTGCCTGCTGTTGTGTGGGTTCCGTTTTTGGACTGTATAGCACACTCCCTGTCTCCCTGTGCACATGAGCATTTGGTTTCGTCGAGGCACAGCATCATCCAATCACGGGCATCATATCCGCAGCATCAGCGCGCAGAAGTTTATCATACGCCCCCCCACCTCCCAGAACACATCAAAACGCAAAAGAACAATCGAATGTTCCCAGATGACTATCAGGTGGCCCAGGCCCAAACACTTGTTGGCGGGCTGGAACACGCAGAGTTGCCGTCCCGTGTCAAAGGTTCACAAAGGATTGGCAACCTTTTGCTTAAGATTGAAGCCCGTGCTCTCGAAAGTACTGGCAAAAAGAGACTGTCACACAGGCGCTTGACGGACATTCAGCATCTTGGAAGCTGAGGCGGAGGCCGGGTTTAGTCAGTTAGATATCAGAAATGCAAAGCTGTTAAATCGTTGTTTGTAATTGGAGCGAGATTCAAAACTCGTGATATGAAAGCGCCGCGTTTGATGCAAATTGTTCTGTGCGGGATTGGGCAACTTGGAATTTGCTGCTAGCTAGCCAGGCCGGAAAACTGCAGTTATATATATATAGATAAAAGGAAATTTGCTGACTGAGCTAGTTGACTGAGCTAGTACTGTAGGTGGTACGCAAATCTTATTTCCTGAAGCACAAGACATACACAGATTCAAGAGTGCACACGACATACACATTAATGTTGGACGTTGATTAGTAATAGGGCCCTCTATAATGCTAAATTTTGGAAAAATAATTTTTGACACCCTGTTTGTTTTAAGGGTCCTCTATTATGCTAATTTTGGGATCCTACTGTTGATTATCTGAAAAATATTTAGGGTTAAGTATATTTCCTTTAGAAAAATAGAAATACTAATTCTTAATACTACTAAGCCAATGGTTGGCTTGCTGAGAGTATTGATAAGTATAGGTTTCTATAGTTCTTCTTCGAAACTGACAGCTTCCCAAGGCCATCAATTCCCTAATCAACCCTTTATGTAAAGATTGCTCCTAAACAAAGTTTCAAGGTAGTAGACCAAGAAGGCCCGTGATCCTCAATAATGAATTTGTTTTAAGGGTCCTCAATTGTGCAAAGTTTGTTCCTGAAGAAAAATACAAATAGCAGTTCTTAATACTACTAAGCCAATGGTTGGCTTGCTGAGGGTATTGATAAGTATAGGTTTCTATAGTTCTTCTTCAAAACTCACAGCTTCCCAAAGCCATCAATTCCTTAATCAATCCTTTATGTAGTAGTATGAAAGGATTGCAAAGAATACCTATATAATGACAATTAATTTTAGCAAGGAACATAAATACTACAATCAATTACAAAAAGGAATCCTCCTAGGAACCCAGATTTGTTTTGGTGGTAGTTTATTATAGAGGCTCCCCCATTTGTTTGAGGGGGGGCCTTTTACTAATCAAGATCCAACATTAAGAGAGAGGGGCGCTAGAAGGAGGGAGACGGAGGGAGAGAACAAAAATTATGATACAACAATGAAACACAGGTTGATGCTCTTCGTAGCCATGTCCACAACAAAACGATTTCACGGGAGGCAACACCGCGCAACCTACACCTGAACCACTCAGAAAACGATGGAATCAGGATAATCAGGAGAACATAGGAGAACGTGAGTTTCAACCACGGCCGATCTGAACAATAGGTTGGGTAACTCGTCTTTGGCAGCTACACAGATTGGGTCAGTTTTTTCCTTGCCTGCCATTTCTGTCCTGAAATAAAGAGTCAGGTCAGGCTTTTAGATTATTTGAGTAATTACGCTCGATGGTGCTTCACTGTTCGCAGCCGTTCAGAACCGTCAACACAATGGCGCCTCTCCGGCCCTCCCATTGGGGGAAGCTTCTGTGTGGGAGGTATGGATGGACGAAGTGTGCGATTCGCGTGAAATAGCGTGGAAATATCACTTCTCTAAGTGGTCTCATTTTTGGGCGCGGGTGCAGCAGCTTTGCAGATTGGTCGCCGTGCCATTGGGGTTCGAGTTTCCTGAATGTGTTTGAGAGGAGTTAAATGTCGCTGTGCCATTGGGATTGCTCTTGGCGGGTTTCCTTCAAAGCTGTGTTTTGTGACAAGTCTCTATTGACTGGAGTATGGGTGATGTGGCTGAGGGAGGCAAGTGGTGCAATCACTCGAAAGGTTTGGTGTGGTGCAAAAGGCACGAAGGTATGGAATCGTCACATTTCGTGGCAGGCAGAGCGTTTGGTGAAGGTTGTTGCCGCTGTGCCGTTGCGATTTGCTCTACAGCGACTGTCTTTGGAATTGTTTTGCCTAGCGGCTTGGGAGGGGCTGTGTGATGTGCGCGCTTTGTCGGCTTCCTGCTTCACCGACACTTGGTTTGGGGCTTCTTTAGGACACTGTTGCGCGACACTCTTGTGGTATCCCCTTGCTCCGCACCCTTGTTTGACACTCTTGCAACTCTAGCGCAACTCTTTATACTAATTAAGTGGGCGAGACTCTTCACCACACTGGCGTATGACACTTTTGTAGAACACTCTTGTGGTCGTCTTCTAGGACACCCGACTCTTGTAGGACATCCTTGCCTTACAGGCGTGACGCTCTCTTAGGACACTTTTGTGGGGGGCGACGATGTTGTAGGACACTGAACTTGACACTCTGGACCCTTGTCTTGTCCATGATTGTCCCAAAGCCTCGAGAAGTGACGCAGGAAGTCCTTCGTACGATACTTCTTCCAAACGTGAGACGCCACCAGATTTCCCGAAAGTCGTGCAGGATGGAGTAGCGTTCTACAACAGTCTCACACACGAGTGTCCTACAAGCGCATCACGCGAGAGTGTATTGGAGCCCCGCACAAGATTGTCAAAGCACAAGAGTCCACCGAGAGCACCCCACAAGAGTGAGACGCAAGAATGTCCCACAAAAGTGTCTTGCTCAAGATAGAAGGGGGTTGCACAAGAGTGGTCTGTGTTTGCGCAAGAATGTGTGTCCCACAAAAGAGTCTACAAGAATGTCACGCAAGAGAGGCGCACAAGAGTCTGCTAGGAGCTCTGTGCAAGCGTGTCACACAATCTGGGATATTCAAATTGTATATTCGGGTTTAAGTCCAAGTTCAATTTGTGTATGTTTAGTATGTTATGTGTTTGTCTTTTCACCATGGTCCCAATGGTTGTTTAATGAAATGTGTTGTACTCTTTGGTTGTCCAATTCTTTTGCAAGCCTAAGCCCATATACAATTTTCAGGTTTAGCGTTGCTGTTTGTATTTTTGAACTATTGAGTTGAAAGTGAGTCCACCCACAAACAAAAGGATGAACATCAGCGGGAACATACGAACATACTGAGTTTAAGTTTGTTCTGCATTGCTTTCATTGGCCCAATGCAACACAAGAGAGGTTGTTTTGACCTTGCCAAAGCGGTCACTGGTTCTGAGGTACCGGATTCTACAGAATAATGCGAAGTCAACAGATGCAAAGGAGCAATGCCAGTGTCATCTATCTCATGTAAATTGCTTTGACCTTTGGCCTTGCCTTTTCGTGTTCCTTGTAAGTTTAATAAGTTACTATAAGTTACTCGGTTCCCTTCAGACCATTGAAATTTAGGAACTTCTTTCTGCTTTCTTAGGACTTGGGAATCGGGACCTTTCCTTCTGCCTCTCTTCAGATTGGAGATTCACCAAACCCATCTCAACTGGTGCTGGTGCAAAGTCACCGAAAACGTTGTGGCCGCCTTGCGGCCCCTGTCAAGCGACAAGACGTGATGGAACTGTTTGCGTTTCGCAATGTGAATGTGAACATATTATGTGGACCTACTAGCGATGGCCTCAACCTAATAGCGATGGCCTCCGACCTAGCGATG